CCCCCACACAGAAACCCCCCAAAAAAAAAAAAAAAAAAAAAAAAAAAAGAATCGGGGAAAACTTGATGAAGGTAAAGCACTCATCACCTGCCATGTTCTGTGCAAATGGCTGCCCCAGGCAGGATCTCAGTTAATGCTTACGACCCCCCTGTGAGGAAGAAATTACCTACCTTTGAGGCAGGCTTGGTCAGGGAGGGTAAGTAGCCTGCCCATGGTCAGCTACAGGTCACAGAGTTGTGAGGGGCCCCATCCCGACCCTAGCGCCCAGGCACAGGCCTCACCTTGTATTCCCGGAACTTGTTGACGATGGGTTCATGAAGGAGAAACTTGATATCTTTGAGAAGGTAGAAAGTGCGGGCAGCTGTGGAACCCTTGTTAACCTTCTTCTTGTGTTTGGGCTCATGGGGATAAATGCCTTTGAGGATGCACAGCCGCCTGGAAGACAGAAGCCGTTCATCCTGTCAGGAAAGGTATAGAACACTGGCTCTGAGGCTGGGCCTGGAGAGTAACTGAACGGAGTGAACGGGGAAAATGGGCCCGTCCCCAGAGAGCATGCATCTCACACAGGCATCCATCATGAGTTCCCTGGCAAATACATACTGCAGCCCATGGCCTGATAGATAAGGAGGCTGGAGCCTGCATAGCCAGCTACATGGTTCAAGTCCTGGACTCGGAGTCTTGAGAAACATACCAGGTACATGTGTGTACCCACAGTATCCCAGAAGGAGGGAGAAATGGAGGAGAATGGATTGCAGCATGCCCAGGCCCAAGAGGAGGAACAAAGGTCACAAAATTGGACAGAGATGGGTGCATCTGAGGAATGGATGTGTGCCAGGCCAGGTGGAGGTCAGCGCTAGCCTAATGCCAGGGCCCTGCATGGGCCCTAGACAAGTCTGGATCTGACTCCCTGGAATGAGAACCCCTAGTTGCAATATCTGGGTCTCTTCTGCCGCAAGTGAGGGGGTGGGTGGCAAAGACCCAGCCCAATCCAGCTGGCCCATTCTGACAGCCCAGTTCTCTAGCTTCCCCTCAGACCACACCTGACAAAGGGAGACTCACTGAACAAGGCCAGGTAAGAGAGACCTCAAGGCAACTCAGGGAAGACAGGGATATGGCTATTTTCACCATGCAATTCACTGCCTGGGGCACCCCAAAGTCCCCCAATTACAGTTCTCTTCAACCTCACCTGAAGTCAGCCAGGCTCAGCTGCAGCTTCTTCCGGGCTTTATTTCGGGTGATGTAGTTGGTGGCAGAGCCCCGTTCATACTTGGGAAGGAAAAAAAGACAATTCCCATTAGCAACGACTGCAGTGACTGCCACGGAACCCTGGCCATGCCTAAGTCCTAGGGGACTTTCTGTCCAAGTGGCCAAGACACTGCTGGGAGGGAGCCAGCCTGCCTGGGTGGGCACTCCTGTGCTGCCCTTGCTCCTGCTGGCATTGTGGACACACACGCTCCCGTACAATGCGGATGACTAGGTGGCTTCTAGGGATTGGGCACTGTGTCAAGCACTTAGGCAGCAGCTCCAAGTACTGGCCATCACCATCAGAGCTTTCCACATGTTATTTAATTTAACCCCCAACCTTGTGAGAAGGGTGCCACTAGGACCCCCATTTCACATAGGAAGAAGCGAGTTCAGTGAAATAAGCTGCCCAAGGTACACTTTTTTTTCCCCCCACAGAAAGACTTTTCTTTCTTTTTAATCATTTACTTATCTGTATGTTGTGATTTTCAAGTCACCAGGTCTGCGACTTGAACTGCAGTCTGCCATGTGGGAATCCTGCACCTTAAGCACCATACCACCTGCTGGCCCTGACACACAGCATTCTAAGAGTTGGGGCTTAGATTCAAACCCAGGTCTGAGCTCAGAACCTGAACACCAACTGCTGAGTCAGTGTCATCCCTTCTTTTGATCTCTTTCTTCTTTTTAATTGTAACCTCCTCACCACCATGAGGAGACCTTTTAGACAAAAAAGCCCCATGAAATGCCAATACTACAGATATACTCCAGATCTCTACATTATGAGGTCCTGTGGGGGAGCACGAACCACTGTAATATCTAAGACACCTCCATCATCAATTTTTGATCCCTTGGGAGTGATATCATTCTGTTTGACAAACGCATGCTCTAAGCCACACAGTGTCTCCCTTTCCCCATTTATTTATTCAACAGACAGCAAAAGGCCTCTTCCATGTGCAAAGCAGTAAACTGGGTGCTATGAGGACAACAAAGACAAAGGCCTTGTCTCTACCTGCCCCCAAGAAGCCTCTTGCCTTGTGTAACCACCTGATGTCTGCGGTACTAAGATGTTGCCTCAGTTCACATCTCTGGGTCCCAGACAGAGCAGCAGCACACCGTACCACACACTCTACGATGTCTACCAACCATGTTTTTTTCCAAACAAGAGCTTCCTCTGGAATAAGACAGCAAAGGTCTCTATGGCCTGGTCCAGCTGTAAAGAAGCAAACCTACAGCCTCCTCAGGGCTCTGTTCATAAATAACTCCATGGCCATGAAACACACCCTTCACTTATTTTTTTCTTCAAACATGTGCATTTTTTTTAAAAAGAGAATCTGGTCCATGCTAAGTCCTGAGGATACAAAGATGAGTTTAGGCTGCCTCGACAAGTTGAGTTTTCATTAAAAGTGTTTTCTATTGCCCTAGGTTACACATATCTGAAACCAAGATTGTCCTTTTAAATGTTAAGGATGTAAGTAGTTCTCAACAGAGCAATCTTACTTTCCACATATGCGTAAGTGTCAGGGGGAATTCAACAATATCTGCAGACGCTTTTGGCTGTTGAGTGCTACTGGCATCTACTAGGTATTAAGTCTGGGATGTTGCTGAACATCCCACAATGCATATGACAGCCCTCCCTGCAACAAAGAATTATTTGGCCCTAATGGCCAAGATTGTTCTGAAACTCAGCTTTAAAAACTGTTTAAGTGGAGGGACCAACAGGTGACATAATGGTTATGTCGTTGGACTCCCACGCAGTGGACCAGAGTTTGAGTCCCGGACTCAGCAGCTTGAAGCTCATGCCAGGCTCATGTGAGTGCATGCCCAAAATCCTAAGAGGAGAATGGAGGAGAAGGGACTACAGCATGGCCACCACCCCCACCCCCCCCCCGTGGTGGGTGATTTCCCACTTTGTGTCCCTGTCCCTACAGCAAGTGTTCTACCCTATACCAAAAAATCTCTCTTAAAAAAAAAAGTTCTACTCTTTCAACTGAAATGTTAAGTCACAAAGACAATTTCCAAGACAACATTAAAATAAGTATCCCTTGGGACCAGCAGCTGGTATAATGGCTATGTCACTGGACTCTCATGTAGCCGACCACGGTTCAAGTCCTGGACCCAGTGGCTTAAACTCAAGCAGGCGCCTCTGCGTGCATGCCCAAGATCCTGAGAGGAGAATGGAGGAGAAGGAATTGCCGGCGTGGCCATCCCCCCCAGGGGGTGATTTCTCGCTGTCTCTCTGTCTCTTTCTGGCGAGCACATGCGCCCTATAGCAAAAATCTCTCTCAAAAAAAAAAAAAAAAGTATCCCTTTATAGTCTCCCCCTCTATTCCTCCTTGACTTCCTTCACAGTCTATTTAACAATCTGTTATCATTTTGGTTGTTTAAGTGTGTGTTCCTCTTCCCCACTAGAAAGGGTTCAGGGAAGGCAGCGACCACATCTGATTGTTTACAACTTCATACCCAGTATCCGGAACAGGGCCTGCTTTAACTGAAAAAAAAAAAAAAAAAGAAAGAAAGAAAGAAAGAAAAAGAAAAAAAGAAACAGGTCTTAAGAAACGATGCACTCCACGTTGAGGGTGAACTCTGCATAACGCTTACCATCACCCTTTCAGTACACCGAGGTCTCAGGCTTTGGAGGTATTACTATGTAGGGTAAGCTTAACTCCTCCATAGTTCTTTCCGTAAAAACAATCCCAGAGTTAATTCCCGGATTTCACCGGACGACTACTGCCGTCCTCGCCCATCTTCTCCTAAGGGCCTTCTCGCAGCTGCCTCCAGTCGTGCTGATCCTGACTTTCCTATTCTCAAGAAGAGCCGAAGCCTGGAAAAGAACTGGGCTCCGCCACCTCCACTCCCGCACCCCGGGGTCTCTGCCACCCACCTTCTTCTTCTCCAGGCCTCCCATGGCTCCACGTTTAGGGACTAACGAGCTCCGCGCAGAGAGACAGCGCCACTTCCTTCAGCACGTGCCGTGCCCAGGACCCCGAAGGCCCCACAACGCTGATCTGTACGGGCTGTCTAGTTAAGTGCCTGTACGAATGCAGGAGAGGAAAATAGGGCTTTCCTCCTCGATTTTTCTCCAAATCCTTCTTGAGTCTGAGTTATAATCAAATTAAAAAAAACTAACACCGCTGCTTCTAGACCATCCCCACCCGTCAATCGGTTCCAATTTAAATGTTTAAACGACTATGGGCATTCAGGCATTTTCATAGTCACCCTGATATCAATCGCTCACAGTGCGAGCCCCGTTGCATGTTGGGATAGAGAGGGGCGGAAGACCTAGCGACAGCTCAGTGCGTTCTGGGCTGCAGAGGGGAACCGCACACAGTGCTGCCTGACGAGAGTTGCGTTGCCACAGTGACGGTTGCTAGGCGTCGTGGGAACCTGACTGGCGAGACGGAGAAGCTGTCGCTGCGGGCGCTGGGTGAGGCTGCGTACGGTTTGCCGTCCCCTTCAGCTTCTGTTGGTTTTTTCCGCTCTTATGATGATAAAAAGGGGGCAAAGGCAGTTTTTTCTTCATGGAAGTAGAGAATCTGGGATGGACCCCTTACATGACGGAAGGCCAAACAGAGCTATGGAACTCGTGGTATATTTTAAATGTACATTTTAAACATTGGGCCTGTCATTTGTACGCATAAATTCCGTATCCTGTTCCTCAAAGGATGATTTCAGGACTCATACATTCACACCTCCTTTGGTGTGGTTTGGCAAATAGATAAAATTTAAGAAAAAAAATTTTTTTTCCTACTGAGTAGACCGCTGAGCTATTTGGAGACAACATCAAAAGTTTAAATTTGAGGAGTTTAATGGTGACACAGAGGTAAATCGTGACTTCTCTGCAAGGCTGACACACATGGGAAGGTTCAGAGTTTTCCAAAGACTTTCCTAAGTACTTGGCTGAAGGCCTTGTCTGGGGTTCCCGCCTCTGTCTTTCTCTGGCGAGAAAACAAATAACCTTAAAAAAAAAAAAAAATTAGGACCAGCAGTGGTGTGGAGATTGAGGTGACTAGATCCCATATGACTAACTGTATGGTTGAAGTCTCAACTCTGTGGCTTAAAAAGCACACTGGGCTGGTGTGGGTGAGTAATCAAAATCCCCAAAGGAAAATGGTGAGGAAGGGATTGTGACATGGCCATACCCCCTGGGGGGTGATTTCTCACTTTCCCTCTCTCTGTTTCTCTCCCCCTCTCCATGACAAATCATAAAGTGCTAGAAAAATCAAGGTATCTAGATTATTACTGAGTTTTAATAAGAAGAATGAAGTCTCTAGACATGGCTTCATCATCTAATAGTGTCGCCACCAACCACTGTGACTATTTAGGTTGAAAACAATTGATTTCGGGACCAGCAGTTAGCGTATTGGCTATGTCGCTGGACTCCCATGTAGTCGACCGCGGTTCGAGTCCCGGACCTGGTGGCTTAAACTCATGCTGGGCGCATGTGCATGCATGCCCAAGATCTTGAGAGGAGAATGGAAGAGAAGCGATTGCGGCATGGCCATCCTCCCTGGGGGGTGATTTCCTGCTTTCTGTTTCTCTGTTTCTCTCTATCTGTCTGGCAAGTGCACAAGCCCTATAGCAAAAAAACTTCTCAAAAAAAAAAAAAAAAGAAAAGAAAAGAAAACAATTTATTTCAAATAAAAATTAAGGGGCCAGAAGAGACAACCCTCAGAATGGGAGAATATATTTGCAAACTATGCCTCAGATAAGGGACTGATAATCAGAATATACAGGGAACTCAAGTAGCTTACCTACAAAAAAGTAAACAATCCAATATAAAAATGGGCAAATAAGCTGACAGCTCTCCAAGGATGATATACAAGTGGCCAAAAAGCATATGAAAAAATGCTCACCATCTTGTATCATAAGGGAAATTCAAATCAAAACCATAATGAACTACCACTTAACCCCATCAGAATGACTAAGATTGAAAAATTAAGAATGATAAATGCTGATGAGGCTGTGGTAAAAAGGAATCCCTCCTATACTGTTGATGGGAATATAAACTAGTGCACACCCAGTCCGTGTGCATGGAGAATATGGATGTTCCTCAAAAACCTACAAAAGGCCAGCAGATGGCGTAATGGTTACGTCACTAGACTCCCACATAATTGATTGCAATGCGAGTCCCAGACCCAGCAGCTGGAACTCATTCATACCAGGCGCATGTGCATGCATGCCCAAGATCCCAAGAGAGTAGAGAAGGGATTGCAGCATGGCCATCTTCCCTGAGGGATGATTTCTCACTTTCTGTCTCTGTCTTTCCAGTGAGCACATGTGCCTTACAGCAAAAACATCTATTAAAAAACAAACAAACAAAAAACTACAAATAGAACTACTGAACCACCTAGCAGTATCTTTCCTGAGTATTTCCCCAAAGGATAGGAAAACACTCATTTGGAAAAACATTGGCACATTCATGTTTACTACAGCATTATTCACAATGACTAAGACATGGAATCAACCCAAATGTCCAAGAGCAGATGAATGGATTGAGAAAATGTGGTATATGTATACACACACACACACTATGGAATACTACTCAACCATAAAAGGCAATGAGACCTTGACCTTTGATACAAAGTGTACAAATATGGAAAATTTATGTTAAGTCAAGCAAGCCAGACAATGAAAGAAAGGCATTGCATTTGATGTTCCCACTTACTATTTATCAAATGGCTCTTTCCAGCCAGTGCCGAGCGATGGATATCTCTCAGAAAAATTGGCACAAGCACTGTAAGACTGGGGGCAAAAGAAAACCCTACCATATGAAGCAGAAGTATGAGCTGACACATCCCACTGCCAACACTAAGCTTGGCCCCACCACACACACACAGTTCATGTGCAGGGAGGTAACAAGAAATACCATGCCCAGAGGCTAGATGTGAGGAGCATTTCCTGGGGCTCAGTGTGTTGTACATGCAAAATATGGATCGTCAATGTTGTCAACAATACATCCAATAATGAGCTGGTCCGTACCAAGACCCTGGTGAAGAACTAACTGCATTGTGCTCATTGACAGCACACCATAACTACAGTGGTACAAGTCCCAGTATGCACTGCCCCTGGGCTGCAAGAATGGGGCCAAGCTGACTCCCATTGAAGAGATTTTAAAATAAAAAGCAGTCAAAGAAAATTCATAAGAAATATGATGAAAGGAAAAAGAATGCCAAAACCAGCAGTCTCCTAAAGGAACAGTTCTAGCAGGGCAAGGTTCTTGTGTGCATTACATTGAGACTAGGCTTGGGACCAGCAATTGGTGTAATGGCTATGTCACTGGACTCTCATGTAGTCAACCATGGTTGGAGTCCTGGACCTGGTGGCTTAAACTCATGCCAGGTGCATATGCATGTGTGCCCAAGATCCCAAGAGGAGAATGGAGGAGAAAGGATTGCGGCATGGCCATCCCCCTTGGGGGGGGGGGGATTTCTCGCTTTCTGTATCTTTCTATCTGTCTTTCTGGAGAGCACACTCGCCCTATAGCAAAAACCTCTTTAAAAAAAAGAAAAAGAACAGGCTAGTGCAACCCTATGGAAAAATATCTTAAAAAGATAAAAGCAGGAGAATTAGAAGGATAACAGATGTGTGCTACCATTAAAGTGCTTAAGGAGGGACCAGTGGTGGACTCCTACATGGCTGACCATGGTTTGAGTCCTGGACCTGGTGGTTTGAAAACGTGCCAGGCACATGTGCATGTGTGCCCAAGATCCCAGGAGATTACTGATACGTTATTAACAATAGAAAGGAGGATCAGAAACCATTTCATTCTCATAGAAATGACAACAGTATTTATTTAAAGTTTGATATCTAGACTATGTGGACTCTCCCACCTTCTATCATAATATAGTGTGGAAAGAAATGGATCACCTGGACAGCATGCAGAACATCACACAGGTCTGTTACATGAGCCCATGATCCAGGACTGACTGAGGTTGGGGCAGATTGCAGTGTCAAGACCCTGCTGGGGGCACTCTCAGAGGAAATTTTAAAATTTTGAGGCCAACTGGTGGTATAGTGGTTAAGGCACTGGATCCTACATAGCTGACATTACAGTTTGGGTCCAGACCCAGCAGCTTGAAAAACATACCAGGTATATGTGTACATGTGCCAAAAATCCTGAGAGAAGAATGGAGGAAAAGGGATTGTGGTCATCCCCCCTGGAGGGTGATTTCTCACTTTCTTATTTCTGTCTCTCTCCAACAAGCACACATACCCTGTAGCAAAAACTGAAACAAATTGTGATACCCAGGTGATCTGGACACCTACTACTACTCCATTGCCCATTGCAACTGTAAATGGACACATAAATACCCCTGACATGAAAAAGGTGGAATACCAAGGGTATTCCTCAGAAATGAGTTTGGGTTATACCACCAGGTAAGACCTGCTGAGGTGAGAACCGAGGGGCAGGTAAATGTAAAATGGATAGTAGAGGAGGGAGAGGATTAAGTAGGAGTTGTATCCCCAAGATCAACTGCAGCAATGAGAGTTGTAGTTTATTCTACTAACCTCCCTTTTCTAAGGTTCCACTCAGGAAGAAAGATCCACAGAGCTGTGCCCTCAACCTATGCAGAGAAGTAAATGTTGTGCAGGAGCTGGACTCTGGTGGCCACGGGAAGAACCCCCTCAGGCCTCCTACTCTGGGGAGCACAATTGCCCGATGACCCCAGCAGCTATATTCTGAAATCCATCAACACATCAATGTCAAGACTACACTTCCCATGAGCTGCTCTTGGCCAATTAGGGCACAGCAAGGATTACTGAGGCAAGCCTGTTCCATGGACTCCCCTTTCAGATGACTTCAGTTTTGAGAGCTTGCCATCAGCCTTGCTGAAAATTTCTTAGAGCTGGACAGCAGTCTAAGACCTTCCTTTCTTAATTATAATGATTTCCTTCCTTTTCACTCTCCTTAACAGAGGTCAGACCTGTACCATAGTCTGATGGGTTTCCTGGTCTCCTGGCCCAGTGTATTTTTCCAGCCGCTGGGGCCAGGATTTAGACCATGCAGTTGGTCATGTGTGATCTGTCTCCCTTGCCACAGGGCTGGCCCTGAATTATTTCTTAGACTATGTCCCTGCCCATCCTGCCAAAGACCATCTGGAAAAAACTAAGTCTGTTTTGTTCACTTGTTGCAATAAGGGAGACTACCCAGCAGAGGAACTGTGGGGGGTCTGACCAGAGGGGAAGTTTATTAAAAGTTCTGGGGAAAGGGTGGAGTCAGGTGAAATGTAAACCAAGCAGTGTTTTGCTAGGCTCAAAGCAACACAGGACTGTATGAGGAGGCTCTGCTTCATTCTGGATAGCATAGTGAACCCAGAGCCCTGTTTCCTCAGAAACTATAGTTAAGATAGGTGTGGAATATCAAGTCCAGAAACTCCTTAGTCAAGACTGTTTCTCTGTGTCAAAGTGACTTAGTTCCTCCAAGTAAGAGTGAAATATTTTTCTTTCTTTCTCTCTTTCTCTCTCTTCTTTAATTGGCAGGGGGTGCAGGTACTTGCCAGAGAGAGACAGGGAGAGGAAGAGGGAGAAAGCATCCCTGAATGGGGTGTGGTCAATGCTGCAATCCCTTCTCCTCCATTTCTCCATCCTGTCAGGAATTTAGGTATGCACACGCATGCACATGCGTCTGGTATGGTTTTCAAATCACCAGGCCAGAATTCCAACCATTACTGGCTATGAGGCATCTGGCTCCCTTAACCACTAGACTAAGGGACCAGCCCATTTCATCTTATTAATATGATTTATAGAAATCTCAGTTAAAAAAAAAAAAGAAAAGAAAGTAGTTAAAACAAAACAAAACAAAAATCCACAGTTATCCCAGTTCAGTGGGTGGAAAGGCACTTTTACTTTCTCATTCCAAGCTAATTTTCAGATAGAAATCCTGAACCAAATTATTTGATCATTCTTCTTTATCACCTTCTCTGACCATGGGACCGACAGCAGTTCAGATCCACCCCCAACAATCTATTTCTAATACCTGGGAAAAGTGCTGTCTCCCTACTTTCCACTTCCTTTCCACCTAGTGTCAAGTTCACGTGGTCCAGCACACAAGTGTCTGTCTCCTTCACTGCAGCAACCTCACACCCTCGGGGATCAGAAGTGATCTTTCAGAACAATGCTGCTTCTCACCAGATGCTGGCAATAGGAAGACTCTCTGTCAAGGCCACTTCCTCCAGGCTACCCACCTAGAGATAGTAGGAACTTCAGTCATAGCCACCTACTGCAGGTCCCCATCCGAGACCAAGGAGACTCCATTGCATGCACTCACCATGGCTCCCCTGGAGGCCCAAATGCATAGTTCTTCAGAAGTTGAACCATTGGACCAGTTGGTGGCATGGTGTTTAAAGTGACTGGATCCCACAGGAACTGACTGAGCAGTTCGAGTCCTGGACCCAGTGGCTTGAAAAACACACTGAGTCTGTGTGCGTGCATGCCCAAAATCCCAAGAGGAGAATGGAGGAGAAGGGATTATGGAGTGGCCATCCCCCCCGGGGGTGATTTTTCACTTCCCCTCTCTCTGTCACTAAAACAGAAACAAAATTTTTTTTTTTTTTTTTGCTATAGGGCGTGTGCGCTCGCCAGACAGACAGAGAGAGACAGAGAGATAGAAAGTGAGAAATCACCCCCTCAGGGGGGATGGCCACACCGCAATCCCTTCTCCTCCATTCTCCTCTCGGGATCTTGGGCACGCATGCACACATGCCCGGTGTGAGTTTAAGCCACCGGGTCTGGGACTCGAACCATGGTCGACTACGTGGGAGTCCAGCGACATAGCCATTGCGCTAACTGCTGGTCCCACAAAAACAAAATTTTAAAAGTATTTAAAAAGGAGTTGGGTCCTTGGCTGGCCTCCCTTCTTCCCAGAATTCCAAGGTGTTCCTCATACCTCACTCAGCCTTCCTGCCCTGGACAGTCTTTTTTTTTTTTTAATAAGAATTACTTATTTAATTTTATTCATTCAGTCATTTATTTTAATTTGACCAGAGAGAAACACATAGAGAGAAGGAAAGTGAGAAAATAAGCCACCAGGTCCAGGACTCAAACTGTGGTTGACCATGTGGGAGTGTCCAGCACCTTAACTGCCGCTCCACCTGCTGGTCCCAGGGACAGTCTATCTTATTTCAAATTTACAAGTACTTCTTCTTTTTTTGTTTTAATCTTTTTTTTTTCTTTCTTTCTTTTTTTTTTTTTTTTGGAGAGGTTTTCGCTACAGGGCGTGTGCACTCACCAGAAAGACAGAGACAGAGAGACAGAAAGCGAGAAATCACCCCCCAGGGGGGATGGCCACACCGCAATCCCTTCTCCTCCATTCTCCTCTCGGGATCCTGGGGACGCACGCACATGCGCCCGGCGTGAGTTTAAGCCACTGGGTCCAGGACTTGAACCGCAGTCGACTACATGGGAGTCCAGTGACAGCCACTACGCTAACTGCTGGTCCCAAATTTACAAGTACTTCTATAAACAGATGCACATCTCTATATTTATCTGTGTAAAGAGCTTGATTTGTGATAAGTCAGGCATGAAAATAGTTGATGTTGAAAGAAATAACCTTGGCAATTTGCCACAATATAATTGCAATAAAAATCTTATTTGGAAACGATAAGAGGTGCCGTAAGGTCATAATATTTTCACAAGCTGAGCCAAAGGGACCTCTGGTGTAACCTTCTCATCTCACATAGGAGGACCTATCTCAGGTCCTTAGCCAGGTCACACAGCCACAGCTCATTGATTCCTATACATGCATTCTCCAGTGGAGTTGGGCAGATAAGGAATCCTGGGACCAGCAGTTGGCGTAATGGCTATGTCACTGGTGGCTTAAACTCCTGCCCGGTGTGTGTGCATGCATACCCAAGATCCTGAGAGGAGAATGGAGGAGAAGGGATTGGAGCATGGCCATCACCCCTGGGGGGGTGATTTCTCGCTTTCTGTCTCTCTGTCTCTGTCTGGCAAGTGCATGCGCCCTATAGCAAAAACCTCTTCAAAAAAAAAAAAAAAAGGAATCCTTGGTTCTCTCCCATCTTTGCAGAGATTTTTTTTCTGGTTACTTTCCTAATCCTGGCAAGCAGCCCTGCTCCCCGTGGTTTTGTCTCAAAATGATGCAATTCCGTTCTTTTACTCTTTTTGTTTGTTGTCTTCAGGAAGCCCCCAGCTCTTGCAGGGTGATTGAGAAAACTGGCCTGGCTGGTTTGGGTCCTGGGGCTCCACCCACTCCCCCATGGGCAGGGAACAGCTGACTTGAGCAGACTGGCTCATGTGACCACTGCTGCTCCGTTTTACTTCTTGTCCCAGGCCAGAGTAGGCGCTTAGAGTGGCTCCTTCCAAGAGTAGCACCAGATAGCCACCGCAGTCCTGCACCACGGCGAGCGGGACAGCTTGGGGGACGACAGAGAGAACTGGTGAATGGTCTTGGGGATCAGACAGGCTCTGTGCACTGGACCAGGCCGCTTTAGACAGCGGGAGCAAAGGTGGCTGGTCTCATGTCTCACATGGTCCCCACTTGTTTCCGCCTCCTTTGTCCCCTACCTCAAGGAAGGTTGCTCAGCCCTTCCTTCCTCTGTTCTTTGGCCTTTTTTCCCCCCTCAATAACAGACCTTTTCCCTTTTCTCTCTGCTGACTTGGCAGCTCACTGCGGGCGTGGAGGGATTAATCAGTGACAGGAAGCAGTGACCAGCTGTGGTCAGGAGAGCCTCCGCAAGGCCAGCCCCAGAAGGCTGCCCCGCTCCCGCCTCTGCTCACCCACCTGCTCCTGCCATGGGGCACCTTGAGGCCTTCCTCTTCCTATTGGGGGCCCTGGGGACTCTCGCTGATATCTGTGGTGAGTAACCAGCCTCTACTCTGTGCTTTTTGCCTCCTTGTTCCTTAGAAAGAAGGGTGTTTTCGTCCATTCCCCCCCTCATTATATACTTGGAGAAACAGGCTCTGGGGAGGGATGGGGGAGCGTTTCTGCCTCCCTCCCCGCCTTTTCCCCCCCCCCCCCCCCCCCCCCCCGAACTTCCATGGCAGTTTGGGCTTAGCTGGATCTCAGCACTTAACATCTTACATTGAGATTAATTTTATGTATGACTCCCCCACAGACAAGATCTCCATTAATTCAGTTATTTACTTTTATTTTTTCACTCAATACCCATTTATTAAGCCTTCTCTGTGCCAGGCCCAACGTTAGGCTTTGTGGAAAAAACAGTCCCTGCCCCTCATAGAGCTTATGTTCTAGTGAAGGGGCCCATCGGAGGAAATCAAGGGAAAATTGGACTGTGGTGAGTGCCGCAAAGGAAGCCACCCCGGAAGGAAGGCGTTAGCAAGCCGGGTGGGGGTCCATAATTCAGGGAAGGGAATTGGGGAAGGATCGCTGAGAACCAGGAGCCCAAAGAAGGAAAAGAAGCTGGCAAGGGAAGACGTTCCTAACCCCCGACTCTGTGGGGAACAAGCAGTCCAGGCAGAAGGAAGTGAGGGTTTGGAGGCCCTTGCTGCTCCAGTTGTGTCCCAGGCCAGCCCCAAGGGGCTCTGGGGACCTCACTTGACCTGTCTGTGTGTCTGAGCCTCCAGGCTCAGGGCTGCTTGTGCACTGGGGCCAGGTGAGAAGCAGAGGTGGGCCTCGGGTCTCTGGGCTGCCCACCTCTCAACTTCCCGCCTCATATTCTGCACACAGGGTTAGGCTCTGCAATACGCCCTCACCACTGGGGGCTTTGGTTATCCTGGAGAGACCCTGAGAGGCAGGTACAGTTTCACATAGGTGTCACATGAGGAAGTCACGGGTCAGAGGAATCACATGGCCTGTCCCAGGTGCTCCAGCCATACCTGACCTTTGCTGAACTCTGTCTTAGAACTTTAAGCTGTGGTCTTCCTTGGTCACCAGAAGTGCCTGTGTTCCTCAGGCACTGTCAGACCCCTCAGCCCTGGGCCCTTGGTTCTTGTCCACTGGGGGCCAGGAGACATAGGGTCAGGGATTCCTCTCCTGCTGACCTACTTGGTCTGGCCCTTTGCCTTACACAATTAGCCTATTAGCCTGACCCCACAAGAGCTCCATTCCCTTAGGGCATGGGGAACCTCAAACTGGGATTTGGGGTATAGCCAGAATGCTCCCCCACCTTCTCCTTGATGGGATGCGAGGATCCCACGGCACCTGCTTTACCAGCTTAGAGCTCCGTGTGACTGAAACGGCCAGATCCCTGCACCAATGCTAACACAGGTGGGCTCCTGTGCCTCTGAAGGTCGGCACCAGTCAGCCCTCAGCTGGCGGGGCTAACACGCACTGTGAGCAGGCGCCTGTGGGAGACAGTGCACTCAGAGGCCACTGTAATTACTGGGAGACTCTGCCTGGCTCCTTCCTTCTAAGGAGGTTAAATTATGGTTATCAGCCTCTTTATAGCCACTCCTTGTCTTATCACTGCTAACCCCATGCTGAGTCAGCAGAGGCAAGGGTGGGGGCCTGAGGCTTCCTCACCAGTTTCAAGGAAGGAGAGCGGGGCCAGAAGGTGGTGCTGTGGTAAAACACAATGCCCTGTGAGGCAGTCCCACATGGGAGGGTCCTCGTTCAAGTGTGGAGACCTCCCTGAGTACACCAGAGTGCCCATGATCTGGGGCTGGCTGAAGGCTAGGGTGGATCATGGCATCAGGAGCCTGTTGAGGGTGCTGTCTCTCTGTCTCTCTCTGTCTCTTCTGTTTGCATAAAAAAGAAAGAAAATAAATAAAACCTTTTAAAAAGGTAAAGGAACCAGCAGATGTTGAAGTGCTTTCATCGCTGGACTCCCACATGGCTGACCATGGTTCAAGTCCCGGTCCCGGCAACTTGAAACTCACACCAGGCATGTGTGTGTGCATGCCCTAGATCTTGAGAGAATGGAAGCGAAGGGCTTGTGGCGTGGCCATACCCCCTGAAGGGTATATCTCACTTTCTGTCTTCTGGTGAGCACACACGCCCTATAGCAAAAATCTTTCTCTAAGAAAAAAAATTTTTTAAAGAAAAGAGAGTAGAAAAAAGACATGCAGAGGCCAGGTGACTAGAGAGAGAGGCTAGGAAACACTCAAAGGCTCAGAGAAATTGAGTGAGGGCCAGCAGGTGGCACAGAGAGTAAGATGGCTAGATCCCACATGGGCAGGATTTGAGTCCTGGACCCAGTGGCTAGTAAAACATACTGGGTATGTGTGTGTGGATTCCCACAATCCCAAGAAAAGAATGGAGGTGAAGGGATTGTGGCATGGTCATCCCCTCTAGAGGGCAAAGGGGTGACTTCTCACTTTCCCTTTCTCTCTATCTGGCAAGTACATGTGCCCTATAGCAAAACTAAAAAAAAAATAAAACATAAAAATTAGAGACCTACAGAAATGGAAACAGACCCACAGAAAGACTCTAAGTAAGGGAAAGGGGAAAAGAAACAATACCCTCAGGCTTTTCTAATTAATGTTTAGGGAAAAACCAGCTCTGTGCTCTGGCCTATATCCACACAGCAAGGAATTATTTAGTGTTTCACACCAGTGAATGGTCATACTATAACAACAGATTGTCTGTGACTTGGGAAAAGGGGCAGAGGAGGGTACTTCAAACAGTTAAGGAGAAAAATGGAATTAAAATACAAATATATTTGGTGCAGAGAAATATTTGAAATTCATGCATGGTTTTTTTTTTAAATATGTATTGAATTTTATTCTTTTTTTTTTTTTCATTCGATCAGTGAGAGACACAGAGAGAACAATAGAGAGACAGAGAGAGAGGGAAAGTGAGAAAACAAACCACCAGGTCTGGGACTTGAACTGTGGTCGGCCATGTGGGAATGTCCAGCATCTTAACCACCATGCCACCTGCTGGTCCCCATGCATAGTTTTTTCAAAATACATATTTTCTGGAGTCAGTCAGTGGTGTGGTTAAGGCAGCTGGATCCCACATGACTGGCTGTACAGTTTGAGTCCTGGACTTGGTGACTTAAGAAACATGCGGGTCATGTACATACATGCTTGAAATCCCAAGAGGAGAACAGGGGATACTTTCTCATTTTACTCCCCTCTGTCTCTCTCTCATGAGCACACATGCCCTACATGGAAGGGAGAAAAAAAAAAAAAGTATTTTCCATGAATTTGTTGAAAAAATTGTTTTCCATGAATTTGTTGAAGATCTCCTCATAAGGTGATGAGACCCAAAAGCTGGGGCTATATTTGCAGAACCCTGGTATGGGGATATCAGGAGGCCCAGAGACAAATCACTCAGCAGGGGGTTCTTTTAGTCCCCTGGGAGACGTGTCCCAGCATCCCGGATTGTGGCATGGTACAGGCCACCATCTGGCAGCTGGGGCCTGGCAGTGACTAGGAGTAAATGGGGTTGGAAAGTCCAAAGTGCCTCGGAGGCAGCCTACTCTAAGCTGCCCGGGCTGAGCATGGGTCCCTTCCCCAAAGGAGGAAGGCGATCATCAACTGGAGCTGGGAACATCCCCTCAGTCTCTGCTTCCAGGGAACTTCAGTATCTTGGTTACACAGCTTCAAGTAAATCCCACGGAACACAGATAAATGCAAACTGCAACCGTTTTCTAATAGCTCCCTTCAGCTCTCGCTTGTCACTTAAACAGAGATGGTAGGGAATGTGTTATTTTGAGATTTGCATGGAGGAAATTCACAAGGCGGCTCCCTTAACCAGTTGGCAGTCTGCAGTGTTTGAAAATGGGATGTGTAACACATTCTCTGTGTGGGCTGAAGTTTTCATAAACGGATAGAACATACCTTCAGTGGAACACTAAAGACCAGGGGCTTTGCATTCAGGTCCACCCTGTGTAGGACACGACATGACTTTGAATTCTGTGTCCTCTTTTGTGCAAAGTGATGATGGCAGTGTACCTTACAGGGCTGGCGTGAGGAGCAAGTGAGATCTGGAGCCATGCCTGGGGCACACATGGCTTGGCATCTAGGTTCGCTGTCACTCCTGCTGAGCAGAGTAGTTGCTTGGCAACAGCATCCTCTGCCCTGGACCCACCACCTCTCCCTGGCTTATTTCAACTGCTCTTTTGGGATAATTGTTTTCCCTACCTCCACCATGGCCTTTCAGCATGGCTAAATTTCCCCTTGCAAGTGCAGTGTATGGTGGGTGGAGGTGAAGGTGGGGACATGGGACATTTATTCCCTGGGCAAGGTCCTGGAAGGGTCAAAGCAGTTCCTTGCTGGCGGCCAGGCCCTGCGACCTCATTTGCATTGTTTTCTTTCTAAGAAATACCAGAGGTGGACAGCCAGCTGGTAGAGAAGCTGGGCCGGCGTCTCTTGCCTCAGATGGACTTGCTGTCCCCGAACCCCAGCATCTACGTGGGTCTGCGCCTCTCCAGCCTGCAGGCTGGGACCCAGGAAGACCTCTACCTGCACAGACTCAAGCTCAATTACCAGCAGTGCCTCCTGGGGTATTCTGTACTCTCGCTTATTTCCCTGTGTATTACTTCACATCCTGAGACAGGAGACCTGGGTTCTGGTTTGGGCCCGTCGCAGCTTTGTTGGCAGGCCTTGGGCAGGTTTTGTCTCTGAGCCTTTCTCTTATCTAGAGTGAAGGGTTGGTTGGAATAAATCAGAGATGCTAACATAAGGGCCCTTATGCTGCCACTGCACCCACTTGTACATAAGACAGACATCACTAATCCATGAATTCAATCTTTCACAACCAGCCCAGAAGCATCTGATTTTTTTTTTTTTTGGTGCTCCCTTCCTGTGCCTGAGGCAGACATTACTAATCTATGACTGTACTCTTTCATATCGAGCCCCTAAGTAGCATCCTTTTGTGCCCCCTTTCCAAGGGGAATTAAGGAGAAGCCTGTTCTGAGGTTTGAATTAGAGGCAAAGAGTCAGAAGCAGCTGGGAAGCACCTCCTGCTTGGACTCCCTCCCAAGAAGTAGATACAGGATGGGGAGAGGATAAAAAGAGGAGAACATGCAGGAGAGGCATGGCCAAAATGGTGGGCAGGCACAGGCTACTTGGGTGTAGGCATCCTTAGAATTTATCCTTGAGTTTACCTTTATTAAGTATTTGTGACAAGTACCTCACAGCAACATAGTTGGCTATTCCTGCCTTTGGTAGTTCTAACGGAGTTGCCAACTGTGAAGGTGGTTTCCACTTTGTGACATGGGTGTCGACGCCTCAAGCCAGGCTTACCAGGGTGGCCCTTTCTCACAAGATGTTTTTAACTGGCTTTGTCCTAGATCTGCCTCCAGAGATGACAACAGTGACTGCCAGGACAGACCTTCCATGGGCCAGCTGGCTCTTTACCTGCTCGCTGTCAGGGCCAACTGCGAGTTTGTCAGGGGCCACAAGGGGGACAGACTGGTCTCACAGCTCAAGCGGTTCCTGGAGGACGAAAAGAAGGCCATTGGTGAGGTGACACCACATGCCGGGGGTGAGGAGATTCTGGGAGGGCTCATTGGGTGGCGTACTGTAGTGAGAATCAGTCTTGGGTTTCTCCCCCAGCCTCTTTCCCACCTTCCATTCTGCCCTTCTCGCCACCCAGAGGCTTGGGCCTGCCCCCATTGCTGTCCTTGGTTTAAGCTTTTCTGAATCCCCTCATGTTCTCGATCGACAAGTCCTGATGCTCGGCCGCCTGGACTGCCCCAACTGTTCAGCCTCCTTACCACTCTCTCGATTGTCTCTGCCTCCTGACTCGACCCTACACATGACAGAGCGAACGTTTCAGTATAAACCTGACCTTGTTGGGCCTGCTTAAACCCTGCAGGGTCCCTCACTGCTCTGTTCACAACCCTGGGGCCCAGCCGTCTGTTCTTTGTCCAGCCTCTGCCCTGCTCACCTGCTCTCTGATTCACTTACTCCCCACCCCTCTGTGGGCTCCAGCCACGCTGGCCTTGTCTCAGCTCACAAGGCTAGACTCTCCCTACCAGACCCCCTCTATGTGGAATATATTCTCTCCCCTTCTAGCTCACTCCTGCTCCACTCTTAACTCTCCCCGGCCACAGCTTCCAACATCACTTCTTTGGGGAATCCTGCCTTGACTTCCTGTCTGTCTAGAGATCTTTGACAGCTGCATGCCCAGTCCACATTTTAGTTACAGTCATGCTCCTGTGAGTGTGAGCTGTGGTTAGAGCCCCATTTGCAAAGAGCCTGGATATCATCACTCTACTCCTTCCCCCAAGCATAGCACCTGACCCGTACAGGACCTCAGCAAGCATGGACTGAGGCAGTGAAGGGATGAGGAATTGCATGACACAAAGAAGATGTTAGGAAGTACAGGCAACGGGGTTCTGTGAGCTAGCAGGGCTCGTTGCTGGGAGGGGGCAGAGAGGCAAGTCCTCAGGTCCAGCTCCTTGGTTTTGTCCTTCCCAGGGCACGATCACAAGGGCCACCCCCACACCAGCTACTACCAGTACAGCCTGGGGATCCTGGCCCTGTGCGTCCACCAGAAGCGGGTCCATAACGACGTGGTGGACAAGCTCCTGAGTGCTGTGGAACATGACCAGAACCTCTACCAGAGCCATCTCTCTGTGGGTGAGTTGGCCAGAACCCACAAAGCCAAGCTTGTACTCCTTCAGCCCAACTGAAGGTGTCCATGCCCCGTCCCCATGCTTCCTTTTCCTTGGGACCTCTCCTTCTCAAGTCCATCAGGAGGGAAATAGCGAGACTTGGGTGTAGTACGACAGCTGTAAGCCAGCTCTGAGGCTGGACTGGGAGCCTGACCTTAGGTCCAGCATATGCTCATTGTGAGACCCCCTAGGCAGGTCAGGGGGCCTTTCTGGTTCAGCTCCTCCTATAAAATGACCTCCCAGCAGCATCTTGATGAAGGATCCCTTACATGTAAAGAGCTTGGCACTATGCCTGGCATGAGGAAAGTTCTGGGTGCCTAGCCATGATCTCAGTAGCATCAGAGCTAGAGAGTCAGAAACCCAGGTTCTGGATCTGCATCCTCAGTGTGTGATCCAGGGCCTCCTTTTCTCTTCCTTATCATTGTGATTCAGGGTCTTCCAGACCTGGCATTCCATGAGTGTGGTGCGTGTGTTCACACAGGGAGAGAGTAGGTTGGGGTGAGCAGTATTAGTCTGGTCTTATGCTGCTACACAGAAATACCTGAGACTAAGTGATTTGTAAAAATAAAGATTTTTTTTTTCTCACAATTCTGGTGGCTGGAAGGTCTAAAGGCATGAGGCTGGCTTCAAGTTGGCCTATGGTGCCACATCACAGCATGGCTACTGAAGTAGAGAAGAGGGCAAGCATGTGCAAAGAACTCCCCACTTGCTCTGTCTCTCCCATGCCCCCAGTCAATTGAATGGTTCCCCCCAATAGGCTGCACCCCTTAAAGGTCTTACCACCTCCCACAGCTATTACACTGGGACCAGGATTCCAGAGCACGAACCTTCAGGGAACAAACCATTATCCAAACCATAGCAGGGGGATAGGGACCCAGAGAGAAGAAGATAGTAGGGCCCCTGCCAGCAGCGAGCTTATTTTGCCTCAAAGGCTTATAGAAAAACCACTGTAAATGCATTAAAATGAGGGGTGAAGTTGCTTTAAAATTCTCAGCACCGAGACCAGCAAGTGGTGTGGGAGTTAAGGCAGTTGGATACTATGTGGCTGGCTGTGTGGTTTGAATCCTGGACCGAGTGACTTGGAAATCACACTAGCTGCATGTGTGTGCATGCCCAAAATCCCGAAAGAACACAGAGGAGAAGGGACTGCAGCAGGGCCATCCCCACTGGGAGGCGCTATCTCATTTTCCCTTTCTCTCTCTGTCTCTAGCAAGCTCATGTACCCTATAACAAATGCAATACAAAAACAAAACAAAACCTCAGGGCCCAGGCAGGTCCCTTTACCAATTAGATCTGACTACCTGGGGGGTGCATGTAGGCATTGGTCCAGGTATTCCAGTGTGCAACCAGGAATGGGAACAAGTGGCGTAGGCTCAAGTCTTCTTGGGCCTCCCTCTTTCAGATTCTCTCCCACACTCCTAACCCCCAAGGAGGTAGAGACCACCCAAACCAGTTTGCCAGGGACTGAGAAATTTGGGGTACACAGGACTTACACAGCCCAGACTGGGAAAGTCCTCGGCAAACAGGGCCAAGTTAGTACCCCCAGCTAATCTGGCCACATTGCCTCTCCTTCTTTAGCCTCCTAAGGCTGCCCTAAACCACAAGGGTCTGAACCCCAAGGCCCTGTATGGCCTGACCCCACTTGGCTGTCCAGCATATCCCATGTTCTTCCCCTACAGACACCGCAGCCATGGCAGGCTTAGCCTTCACCTGCCTAGAGCGCTCCAACTTCAATCCTGATCAGAGAGAGCGGATCACCAAGGCCATCGGCACAGTGCGAGGAAAGATCCTGAGGGACCAGACCTCCAGTGGCCACTTTGGGAATGTCTACAGCACCCCACTGGCACTGCAGGTAGGGAAGACACCCCATAGCTATGGCCCTCCAGGGATCGGAGGTTGCTGAGGGGTGCACTGGCCAGGAGCTGGGAGACCTGGTTCCTCCCATCTGTGACCCACCTCTCTCCTCTCCTCCCTGCTCTATTACCAGTTGTTGATGACCTCTCCCGTGCCTGGGGTGAAGCTGGGGCTAGCATGCCTCCAGGCAAGGACTGCTCTGTTGACCAGCCTGCAGGATGGGGCCTTCCAGAATGCGCTCATGATTTCTCAGCTGCTGCCTGTCCTGAACCACAAGACCTATCTGGATCTCATCTTCCCAGACTGCCAAGCACCGAGAGGTAGCCAAGCTCTTCCTGGAAGCACAGCTCTTTGCAACTGCCAAACATTGGCCGGGTATTCCAGTGAGAGGAGGTTACCTGGCTCTGCTTGGCTGAGTCAACATCATGGGACATAGCAGTTAATATGTGGTCACAGCTTGTAGTTCACAGTGTGGGAAGAAAGACACCAAATGGAGAGCTCTGGGAGGGACCCTTTTGTGACACGCAGGACAGAAATGTTTGAGGGAATGAGTAGAAGAATGGAGACATGTTTTGGTTAATTCTGATATCTGATGAGCCCCAGTTAGTGGTGTGAATCAAGGCTTCATCTGGGATAGGCACTTGAAGAGGTGAGGGATTTACCCATGGAGAAGGGACAGGGGAGGGCAGAATAGGGAGGAGGCAGCAAGAACAAAGGCACAGAGGTGTAACAGTCCAGAGTTTGGGAGACTGGTAGGCTGGTCCTGTAGCCTAGTGGTCAAAGGAACCACATCCCACATAGTCAACTGCAGTTTGACTCCCAGTCCTGATGGCTTGAAAAACATGCTGTGGGGCCAGCAGGTAGCATGGTGGTTAAGGTGTTGGACTCCCACATGGCTGACTGAGATTTGAGTCCCAGACCTGGCAGCTTGATTTCTCACTTTCCCTTTTTCTCTCTATCTCTATCTCTGTCTGTCTCTCTCTGGTCAAACTAAAAAATAATAATATAGGACCTGTAAGTGGCATAGTGATGAAGGCACTGGATTCCCATGTGGTCAACCATGGTTTGAGTCCTGGACCTGGTGGCTTGGAACTCGGGCAGGGAGGGAACAGCAGATGGCGTAATGGTTATGTTGCTGGACTCCCACGTAGTTGATCACAGTTCGAGTCCTGGACCTAGGGGCACCTCCAGACGCATGCCCAAAATCCCAAGAGGAGAATGGAGAAAAAGGGATTGTGATGTGGCCATCCCCCTGGGGGATGATTTCTCAATTTCTGTCTCTGGCAAGCACACATGCCCTATAGCAAAAATCTCTCTCTCTAGAAAAAAGAAATTTATATAGGTTGCATGTGCATGCACACCAAAAATCCCAAAAGGAGAATGGAAGAGAAGGGACTGTAGCATTGCCATCCCTCCTGGAGGATGATTTCTTGCTGTCTTTCTCTGTTTCTCTAGTGAGCACACATACCCTATAGCAAAAATCTCTCAAAAACTAATTAATTAATTAAAATAATTATTTGGAAAAAGAAAAGAAAAGAAAAACACACTGGGCATGTGTGTGTGCATGCCTGGAATCTCAACAGGTTGGAAGAATGGGGGAGAAGGGATTGCAGCATGACCATATCCACTGGGAGGTGCTTTTCTCACTCTCCCCTCTGGTACATACACATTCAGTTTTTTAAAAAGAATTATTTAAAAAAAAGAATTATTTTAATTGACTTTATTTATTTTAATTCGACCAGAGAGGGACACAGAGAGAGAGAGAGAGGAAAAGTGTGAAAGTAAGCCATCAGATCCATGTCTTGAACAGCAGTCAGTCATGTGGGATTCCAGTATCCCTAACTACCATGCCACATGCTGTCCCCAATTTTTCTTTTTTAAAGAGAGATTTTTTGCTATAGGGCATGTACATTTGCTGGAGAGACAGAGAGACAGAGGGACAGAAAGGAAGAAATCACCCCCAAGGGAGATGGTCACACAGCAATCCCTTCTCCTCCATTCTCTTCTTGGGATTTTGGGCTTGCACGCACATGCACTGGCATGAGCTTTATTTTTTAGAGGTTTTCGCTATCGGGCGCATGCGCTCGCCAGAAAGACAGAGAGAGACAGAGAGCTAGAAAGTGAGAAATCACCCCCCTGGGGAATGACCACACCGCAATCCCTTCTCCTCCATTCTCCTCTTGGTATCTTGGGCACACATGCACACACGCCTGGTGTGAGTTTAAGCCACTGGATCTGGGACTCGAACCACCATCAACTACATGGGAGTCCAGTGACATAGCCATTATGCTAACTGCTAGTCCCATAATTTAAATTTTAAAAAAATTGGAGAGAATGATCTTACTCATAGGTGAGGTCAGAGAATGAGCTGGAGGGGCAGTCAGAAGCATGACTAATCGGGGGGACCATCAGAGGTAACGGGAGTGACATGAACAAATGTGTTCTAGAAAGAGCCCTCTGGGGTGCCGTGTGGTGGGAGGGGCCATAGTGGAGGCAGAGAAACCAGGGAGGGGCCTGGCATTGGGTGGTGGGGGCCTGTGGGAGCTGAGGGCCAGGTGAGTCTGGGATGGCAGCCGGGTTTCAACTGAGCAGCTGGCCGTGGCCTTGACTGAGTTAACATGGGAAGGACATGGTCCATACGGGCCACAGTCTTTGAGGGAAGCAGGACTGACATCCGGGCTCCAGGTCCTCAGGACAGCTGCCTCTTACTTTCTCCTGGCACAGTCTTATTGAGGCCAACGACTGAGACCCCTGCAGTGACTCCAGCCTTAGCGATCATCAACGTTACGCTGAAGGTCTCCAGCCTCGTGCCGCCTTACGAGCAATCCTTCTTTGTCCTCTCTGGATCCTCGTTGGAAGATGTCCTGAAGATGGCCCAGGAGCTAGGAAGATTCACGTAAGACCCCCACCTCCTGGCCCTCACCCCACTTGACCCCACATGCCTGAAATAAGGTCAGGCCAGGGGCTGGGGACAAAGGAGAGGGTTTCCTGGGTTGAGACACTGGCCCAGTTTCCACCTGCTCCTCCTTTCTTGCCTATGCTGTCGTGACAGGGAGCTGAGGCCAGCATGGAGCACCGTCACTGAGAGGGCCAGCTCTGCAGGCAGGGCCCCCACATTCTCACCTCTGCTCCCCCACCAGGGACCCAGAACCCACAGCTCAGTGAGGAGGCCAGATGTGCTCCCTGCCCTCAGGGCCAGTGAGGGGTCCAGTGGTCAGTGTGCACTGAGGTCCTGGCAGTACTTTTATTTTCTTTAAGAGGCCAGGCACACTTGCTTGAAAGAGAGAGAGATAACATGAGAAAATAGCCCCCTGATGAATGGTTATGCCATAATCCCTTCTCCATTTCTCCTTCCTTTAGGGATTTGGGGCATAAACACACACACAAGCCTGCCATGTTTCTCAAGCTACCAGGTCCAGGACCTGAACTATGGTCGGCCCCATGTGGAATCTTAGCCACCTTAATTTCCATGCTATGGGATAGCCACCCCCCAATTTTTCTTCCGTAGGGTGCGTGCGCTCACCAGAGAGAGAGACACAGACAGTGAGAGGGAAATTCAGAAATCAGGAGGGATGGCCATGCCATAGTCCCTTCTCCTCCGTTCTCCTCCTGGGTTTTTGGATGTGCACGCACACACACCTGGCATGATTTTCAAGCCCCCGGGTCTGAGACGCAAACTACCATGTGGGAGTCCGGCAACATAATCACTACACCACCTGCTGGCCCCTCCTTCATCTTTTTAATCTTTTTTTAAGCTTTTATTTTTGTTTTTTAAGGGTGCACACACTTACTGGAGAGAGACAGAGTAAGGGAGAAGGAAATTGAGAAATCTCCCCCTGGAGAGATGCAATGCCTTCTCCATTTTCCTCTTCAGATACACGCCTGGATTGTTTCTGAAGTCACCAGGTCAGGGACTCAAACTGCACAGCTGGCCCTGTGGGATCCAGTGCCCTAACCGCCACACCACCTGCTGGTCCAAATGCATAGTTTTTTGATAATACACATTCTCCATGAGCCTATAATTTTATGTATTTATTTAAAATATTTATTTTATTTAACTTTACATATTGATTGATTGATTTCAGTTTGACCAGAGAGAGAGAGAAAGGGAAAGTGAGAAAGCAAGCTGCCAGGTCCAGGACTCAAACCATGGTCAGCCATGTGGAAGTTCAGTGCCCTTAATCACTATACCATCTGTTGGCCCCAATTTTTAAAATTTTTCTATTATTACTTTTTATTAGCGTAGTAGTTGTTACAATGTGATTTTTCAGTACGTGAGTACAATGCGTAATGACTAAATCCGGGTAATTTGTAAGCCCATCATCTCAATCATTTGTATATAACTAACATTATACACTGTATGTGTTGTTATGGCAAAAACGCAGATAATAAATAAATTAAACAAAACAATATAAAATGCAGTTGGGGAGAGTACGGTTAACAATAGCCTACTCAGGAAGGTCCCTGGATGTGAACCTGGAACCTTCCCACATGGATCAGCTTTGTAGAGTGTTGCTTTACAGCTGCACCACCATCTGGTCCTTGCCTCCTGTTAAACCCCCCTCTATTCTCTTCCTGGTTGTCTGCAGTGCATGAGCAGTGCCGCTGGGCACCAGCGCTGTCAGGGCTGGCACACACGCACACCAAGCACCCTTGGCAGGGCTCAGTCTCACAGACCTGGAGATACCTATGTCATCAAAATGAAAACCAAGGGGCCAACAGGTGGCGTGGTGGTTAAAACACTGGATCTCACGTGGCCACCTGTGAGGTTCAAGTTCCAGACCTGGCAACTTGGAAAATGCCAGCACATGTCTGCGCATGCTGAAAGTCCAGAGAGGAGAATGAAATAGAAGGGATTGTGGGGTAGCCAACTCCCTGCAGGGTGATTTTCCACTCTTCCTCTCCATCTGTCTGCCTCTCTCTGGAGGCACATGTACCTTAGCAAAAACAAACAAACAAACTAGGGGGCTGCAAGTGGTGGATAAGGGCATTGGACTCCCACATGGCCGACTGTGGTTCCAGTCCTGGACCTGGTGGCTTGCTTTCTCACTTTCCCTCTCTCTCTCTCACACACTCTGGCCCTCTCTGGTCAAATTAATATAAATAAATAAACTTAAATAAAATAATTATTTTTTAAAAAAAACTAAAACTAAAAAGAAAACCAAACAGATTTTAACATTTTTATTAAGAGCTTAAGGACCTATGAGAAGACACTCTAGATACCAGTCTGAGAAGTATTTCTTTTTAGTGCGAGTCGGTGCCTGAACTGAACCCCGGACTGGGCAGGAAGGCCACCTGTGAGACAAGTGAATGCATAGGAGAGAAAGCTACACCACAGAGACAGACAGATGTGGAGAGAAGTGGCCTTGGCAACTACGTGGCCCTCCAGAGTTAAGGAATGACCAGGGTTGTTCTGGGTCATGTCACAGAGCAGCCTGAGCAGGCAGTGTTAGTGGGGCTGGAGAGGAGAGGGATGGAGGTAAGACTCAGGGACCCAAGGCAAGGTGGCCCAGGAAGGGGTTAAAGGCAGGACTTGGCTGGTGTAGGTGAGCTCTACTTCTCCCCTTGGGAACGAGGGTCACCTCTTTTCATTTTTCCTTTTGGTAGGTATGAAGCACAGGCCTCCTTGTCTGGCCCCTACCTGAATTCTGTGATGGGGAAAGCGGCGGGGGAACGTGAATTTTGGCAGCTCCTCCAAGCCCCTGACATCCCTCTGCTGCAAGGTGAGTCTTGTGGCCTTCTACCCTGCACGTATCCCTCCCCAACCTTGACCCAGCAATGAGGCTTCATCAGTTCACCCCAGCTTGCCCCCAGGCCTTCCTAGGCCATAGCGTCCTGAAATCACTGATGCTCTAGGTTGGACATACAGGTTGAGTATCCCATATCCAAAATTGCTTGGAAGGAAAAGTATTTCAGATTTGAGGTTTTTCTGGAATCCAGAATACAAGGGAACTTCAAAAGTTTATGGGATATGGAATTAAATTACAAGTTTATTTTGATGTAAAAATTTTTGAAATCCATGCATAGTTTTTTCATAATACCTATTTTTCCTGAACTCTATAAAGATCCCTCATATTTGAGATAACTTGAGGACAGGACCCAAGTGTAAACATGAAATTCATCTATATTTCATATATATCTTATACACGTTGCCTGAAGATCATTTCATACAATATTTGTGTTTTGACTGCAACATTGATTTTCCACTTGTGGCATCATGTCTGTGCAAAACTGAATTTTGGAACATTCTGGATTTTGGATTAGGAATGTTCAACCTGTAATTTATTTGACTAAATTGTTAGAATTATTATTATATGTAAGTTATCATGGAAATTCTAGGAGACCAGATAGATTAAACAAAAGAAGAAAATGCAAATCATCTATGATTCACTACCCAGGAATAATTTCCTATAACTTTTGGTATATTTTCTTCCAGGTACTTTTCTTTTCTTTTCTTTTCTTTTTTTTTTTTTTTTAGTTTTTGATACCCACTGCATACTCACCACAGAAAGATGGAGAGAGAGAAGGAAAGTGAGAAATCATTCCCCACATGAGATGGCTGTGCCTCAATCCCTTCTCCTCAAGTCTCCTCTTGGGATTTTTGGGCACACATGCACCAAACATGGCCATGTGGGATCCAGTGCCTTAACCTCCATGCCACCTGCTGGCCTTGACCTTCCTCTTCCCTTGTGAAAGCCCCATGTTATCCATTAGAGTTCATTAGGCTGCAGGAAACAGGAAATAGGGTGCAACTGGCTTCAACGATGTGTCATCTGTGGTTCATGGAACCAGAAGTCCTGAAGTTGTATGCTTTGCCCAAAGTCACAATGCTAAGAGTGACAGGCACTGGGGCTTGAACCCAGGTGTTCTACTGGAGACTGGCTCTTGCTAAGGAGAGAGAAAGAGAGACAGAGAGAAAGCATCCCCCAGAGGGACCTGGCCATGCCATAGTCCTTTATCCAGTTTGCCATCCCATCAGGATCCTGGGCACGTGTGTGCATCCAGCATGTTTTTCAAGCCCACAGGGCTGGGATTCAAGCCCCCTTCAGCCACATGGGCGCCAGCTTCCTTGGCACAACACTTAACTGCTGCACTGCAGGCTGGCCCAGATCCCTCTTCCTGATGGCCCTGGAGTGTCATGGAAACATGACCCTGACTGGCAGATACTGTCAGGGTCTATGCTTCTTTTCACTTTGTGTTTGCTACCTGACATGCTGTCTTGTCCCCTCAGTCTTTGGGGGCTCCCCCACTGCAAAATGGGCCTATGGCCTCAGGAACCCTATGGGAGCTAAGTTCAGAGTCTCCCAGCTGTCTCTGGCCATCTTCCACTTCCCCACTCCCAATCCCTAGGTGGATCCCACGGTCCCAGACTTCTGGGCCAGGGGAGAGGTGTCCAGAGGTTGAGCCCAGGGGCTGGGATGCCCTTCCTGTTACCCTTGTTCCATCTGTCTCTGCAGGGATTGCTGACTACAGACCCAAGGATGGAGAAACCATCGAGCTGAGACTAGTTAGCTGGTAGCCCCAGGCTCACCCCAAGAGCCTCACACGCACACTCTGTGATCTTCTGCCCCCCACTTCCATCACCCCCACAACAGGCACTGGCCTGCCCCTACTGTTGCCTCCTGTGCACTGGAGCAATGTCCCGGGTCACCCCAGCCACCACCCCTGAGGGGGTCCTAAGCTACAGCCCACTCTGGAACAGGGAGCCAAGCTATGTCTGGGGAAGTCTTTTGGCCTGGGGCTGGCCCAGCCTGGCTGTGCAGGCCTCCCATGAAGCCACCCCCATGGTCCGAAGGTTGTGACACACCCCAGACCCCTTGGCAAATGGAGGGCACGTCTGGCAGCTGCTGGCATTGTGAGTTCCGCCTGCTGTGGGATTGGGGTCCTGCAAGGAGGCCTCTGTTGGCTCACGACCGTGGCCCTGGCCCCAGATCGTCACTCCACTTTCAGGGTGAGTGGCAGCCCCAGAACTGGCCAGGGCACAGAAGCCAGCAAGGCCTTGGCAGGGATGCTAGGTGCCTGCCTGTGGACTGATTAAAGCA